GGGGGTGGTTTTTTGGGTATAAAGGGTGTCTTCCGACGCATGTATCGGATCGGTCTCTTTTGTACTTTGTTTTTAGGTCTCAAAACTTCCTCCCTGCAAAAGGACAAAAGCGACAAATCATTTTTAAAAAATCGTTCCAGGAACGTTCCAAACTTCAACCAGCTAACTTTTGTGTGTTAGTAAGCGCATAATTATTAGCAAAGAGCGACTCGAATGTGTTCTTGAAGCTTTCCCATTCGGAAAACTTCCCCGAAAATTTCTGAAGTGTAATACGCGGCAACTAAAAATTGTTATTACTACTATCGCGGAAGGAGGAGTCAGTACTACGATCGAGAGGAGGCGGTTGAACGACACTTAATTTACTTATCGTATCACGGAGCGTATCGGCTGCCTCGAGGTAGACCTCCTCAGCTCGCTGGAACTCTTCATCGACGAAGTAGGCCATCTTCGCCCTTTCCTCAGAAGTAGTAGATTGTAGTAGTTTGACGTGGAGCTCCCTGCATGATGCCCAGAGCGACGTCAGCTCGTCCAATCGGCCTTGGACTTTTGGCAGTGTCACATTGACCTTTGCCAACTTCTTGAAATTCACGAGCACTCGTTTTAATTGAGAGGTCGTGTCTATTTGCGCGATTAACAAATCCTTCACAGTCGACATTTTTCAGTGCACTGGCACGCGTGCCGACGGAAATATTCGCAAACGATCTTCTATCGAACGCGAAGAGACTGTCTCTAATAAGACTACTGATTATGCCGGACGCGAGCGTCGCCGGCGGCACGAGTTCGCGGACGACCTTATGTCGAAACGCGACGAAATGATCTCGGGCGAGACTACTGATTATGCCGGGCGTGAGCGTCGCCGACGGCACGAGTTCGCGGACGACCTTATGTCGAAACGCGACGAGAAAAAACAGAAAACCTGCTAAACTCGATACTTTACTGATTTCACTCGGCGTAGCACTCCGCGAATTATTACTATGTCGCGGATGTGACGCGAGATTATTGTTCGATTCACGTGTCGAATTGGTTTGATCGACGTGAATCGGAGTCTACCCGTTTATTTTCCTTGAGAGCTTAAGCGCGAACTCGACACTTAATTTATTCACTTGGTTCTTTATGCTCGCGCTAATTCTCTTTTCACTGTCCGCGCGAGAGTCACACGACAATCCCTTCCACCTTTTTTCCGTATCGTCTTCGCTATCTTCTTGATCCGGCTCGAAAGACCATTTTTACTTCTGTACGAGAACCTTCGATATATATATTTTTTTTTCTTCGCGCAGAGGTAAAATTCTTTATTTTATTTTGCCGGTTCGTCGATCTCGAAGGAGGCTGGATCCAGTTGGAAATAAAGGCATAGAAATTGATTCGTCCAATATTCTCTTTATTTCTTGACACACGAGAACAGGAATCGAAACGCGTGCTTTTGCTCTCTCGCGATTAATCGTCGCGCTATACACTCTCCTTTTGTCTTTTGCTAATATACGGAGTTGTCTTATCGGATCGGACTCCTCGGGTAGATTGCTGCTCCGATCTCGAGAAATTCGGTAGCTGCGGCGGCGATCGATCATCCGATCGACGCGTGGCACGAGAGGCGAAATCGGATTCGCTCACGATTGTCCTATCACGCTCCGGAATTCGAGACAAAGCCGAGTTTTTGTCGACTTCTCGCTCGCGGAATTGAAAACAAGCGAAATAATATTTTGACTCTGAATATTCGATGGGTCAAATTGATCTGCGCTTCTTAAATTTGAAAAATACGTTATAATTTTAAACACATTCTTACAGAAATTTGATCAAAAGTAATCTGTTTTTATATATGAAAAAACGCAATAACTTAGAAATACAGATGGTTTTTCATACCATTTTTATGATCACTAATAATTTTCTTATAAAACATGTTGCGAAGTATAAAAAAAATTATTAGGTTCGTATAAATTAAGATTTCCATAATCAAAAAGAGGATAATCGTATTGAAAATATGACAGAAGTGATGGTGGGATATTATTACCATTATTTTTACTAAAAAAAGAATTATATTTATTAAAATTATTTTTACTAAAAAAAAGAAATGATATCGCACAAAAGAACCTTTTTTTTAAAAAAAGGTAAAAAAGGGCGCCAAGTACACGCCTTGTTATATTAAAAAAAGTTTTCCTCATAAAAAAACCTTTCCAAAAAATTGTTTTTTCAAAAAAAGTTTTCCTCATAAAAAACCTTTTTAAAAAACTGTACTTTCAAAAATATATTATATTAAAAAAGTTTTTCTCACAAAAAACC